ATGTCATTTCCTATGAGCAGTATGTCATCTACATACAACACCAGAAAGCTAACTATACTCCCACTAGCTTTGACATATACACAGGACTCATCCTCGCTTCTCGAATAACCAAACTCTTTGACTTTCTCATCGAAACAAAGATTCCATCTGCGAGATGCTTGCTTCAATCCATAAATGGATTTCTAAAGCTTACACACTCTATTCAGATATTCTGCATTGACAAAACCCTCTGGCTGATTCATGTAAACATCTTCAGCCAACTTCCCATTAAGGAAAGCAGTTTTGACATCTATTTGCCATATTTCATAATCATGAAATGCAGCAATGGCTAGCATAACCCTTATAGATTTAATCTTAGCCACTGGTGAGAATGTCTCATCATAGTCAACTCTAGGAGTTTGAGTAAAGCCCTTCGTAACCAATCGCGCCTTATAGGTGTGTACTTTCCCATCCATGTCGGTCTTCTTCTTGAAGATCCATTTGCACCTGGCTGTCTTACGGCCTGGTACATTGTCAACGAAGTTCCAAACTTGATTATCATACATGGACTGAATCTCGCTATCCATCGCCTCTTTCCATTTTGCAGACTCAAGGCCTGCCATGGCTTCCTTGTAGTTGTTAGGTTCATCCAAATTTACCAGTGTACTATCACTGATAAATGTATCACCTTCAATAGTAATATGGAAACCACAAAACTCAGGTGCATTCCTAACTCTACTGGAACACCTTAGAGGTAAGGACTCATCAATTGGTTCAATAGGAGTTTCCTCCTCGGGTTGAGCGCTAGTGTTTGAGGTTCCTTCAACACTTAACTCTTGAAGCTCTTCAAGGTCAATTTGCCTCCCACTGTCCTCTTGGCATATGAGTTCTCTCTTGCGAAAGACTCATCTCCTCGCAACGAAGACAACATTGTCACTCGGTCTATAGAAGAGATATCCAAAGGATTTATGTGGATAGCCGATGAAAATAAATCGCTCACTACGAGGTTCGAGCTTGTCGTGAGTTTCTTTTCTCACAAAAGCCTCGCAACCCCAAATCTTGATGTGGTCTAACGAGGGAACCTTCCCTGTCCACATCTCTTGAGGTGTTTTGGAAACCTTTTTAGTTGGGACTAGATTAAAGATATGGGCGGCAGTCTCTAAGGCATACCCCCAGAATGAGATAGGTAACGAAGCTCGACTAATCATGGAACGAACCATGTCCAACAAGGTTCTACTGCGCCTCTCAGCCACACCATTAAGCTATGGTGTCCTAGGCGGCGTCAATTTTGGAACAATTCCACATTCCTTAAGATAGTCATGGAACTCAATACTAAGATACTCTCCTCCTCGATCGGATCGGAGCATCTTTATCTTCCTGCCCAATTGATTCTTCACTTCTTGCTTAAACTCTTTGAACTTTTCAAAGGTTTCTAACTTATGCTTGATTAAGTATACACATCCATATCTACTATAATCATTAGTAAAAGTCACATAGAAGCGGTTAGCATCCCTTGTGGCGGATCTGAAGGGTCTACACACATCGGTGTGTATGAGATCCAAAAAACCCTCACCCCTTTCACAAGTACCAGTGAAGGGTGACTTGGTCATATTTCAAGAAAAAAATATTCACAAATGTCATCCGACTTTAATTCAAATGACTCCAAGACTCCATTCTTTTGGAGTTGGGCTATGCGCTTCTTGTTGACATGTCCAAGACGACAATGCCATAAGCATGCTTTATCCAAACCACTGGATGAATCGATGTGCAATACATTATTTCCTAAGTTATCTACAACCATCACAATTTCATATTCACCATTACAAGGTAATGCTTCAATATAATATACACCATTATTATAAGCATTAATACTACCAATTTCATTATTAAAAGAAAAGGTAAAACCTTGTTTATACAAACTATGAAAAGAAATAATATTCCTCGCCATATCTGACGAGTAACAACAATTATTCAAATCTAAATTTAAAACACTACTAATCAATAAAGAATAAATTCCAATCTTGGTGACAGGCGACTTTTTCATATTCTCCATGATTAAGTTCATCTTCCTGTGCTCTACATCCCTACTTTCTTTTAGACCCTGCAAATCAGAACAAATGTGAAAACCACATCTTGTATCAAGGACCCAAGAATTAGCATGTGATGAGTTATTAGACAGAATAGTATAAATACCTGCGAAGGAGGGTTTGATCTTCCCATCCTTTATGTCATGCAATTATTTGGGGCAGCTTCGCTTCTAGTGTCCTTTTTCATGACAATGGAAACACTCTGCTTCCTTTGGATTTGGAGAGGGGGTGACAGAACCAACTTTAGTCCCACTAGAAGAGGATCCAACATGGGACTTTCCCTTGTGGCTCTTTGAGGGAGCCTTCCTCTTCTTTCCCTTCCCATGTCCAATTGCCAAGACAGGGGCAACAGTAGTAGGAGTAGGTACAACAGATTTACCTTTCAAATTGCTTTCAGCAGTTCTCAAGAGACCTTGAAGCTTGCTTAGAGTGACCTCCTCCTTGTTCATATGATAGGTCATACGAAACTGATCATAACAAGGAGGCAAAGAGTGTAGAATAATATCTATAGCCAACTCTTCATCGAAGTTGACATTCAACTTCAGCAAGCGGTCCACAAACCTTTGCATCTTTTGCAAGTGGGTCGTGATGGACTCTCCATCCTTCATTTTGGTCGTGATCATGGAGGCTATGATCTCATACCTTTCCTGCCTTGCACTTTGATGGTACCTTTCCATCAAATCTTGGTGCATTTCATAAGGCCAAAAGTCCTCATATGACTTTTGAAGCTCAATAGTCATGGTAGCAATCATTATACACGACACTTTGGTCGCGTCCCTCTCATGAGTCTTATACTCAACAATCTGTTCGGGACTAGCAGTAGATTCATCAATCTCCTTAAGCTCTTTATCAAGGACATATTCTTTTTCCTCATAACGAATAGCCATTCGGATGTTTCGAATCCAATCATTGAAGTTCGATCCATCAAATATGACCCTCCCACATAGGTTCATGAGGGAGAAAGAGCCAGAAGCAATTGAGTTTGAAGCATTGTTTGAAGTAGATATCTGAAAAGAAGGACAAAGTTTAGATTAGACAAGGATCCTTAATATAACACCCAAAATGGAATATTAAGGCTAGGACCCAACACAATATTTTACAATTCGGAAGAGGGATGTCGTAAACCAATTGCAAAATATTTGAAGGTAGGTAAATGATGGTTTACCAATTTCCACCATGAAAAACGAAATTGATTATTAAGTTTTAATTGGATTGAAATTCTTAGATTCTTATTGAGATTCATTGAACTTTTCAATGGCACGTTTAAATCTCGATTATGCCCTTCAAGTTTGTGACTGGGATACCGAGGATCACAAACAAGGTGTGAATAACCATGCAAATTAGCTTGGTACACTTAATGTTACAAATCATCCAATCAATGTGCCGGTTAACCACACACGCTCCATTGACCCTTGATTAACATCAAGCTACCCTTTGCCACACATTATCAGTCCAAATTAGTGTGTCGGTTAACCACACACGCTCCACTAACGACTTAACAAGGTGCAAAGTGCAACTTCATGGAATAGCACCGTTTTCACATTTTTCCTAAAGTAACTAAGATTGAGAATTTATAAAAGTTTAGGTACTTTAATAATTATTATTACACTTATTAATGAGAATTAATGTCCTATCCTACCCGTTCGGCTAACGACCCTCCACCAGTCAAGGAAGCAGTGGGTGAGAGTGGACACCCATTAAACTACCATTTTATAGGCAGTAACCTTATACCCCCTTATAGACCGGCTTCGTGAATGAGGCCTACTAACGGTAAGACTGACTTGTCTTACATATATATATATATATATATATATATATATATATATATATATATATATATATAGGTATTAAACTCTTAATATTATAATAGTATAATGGTTGAATTTTAAACTTTTAAAATTCTAGGGTTTGGAATTAAAGTTTCATAAATGAGACTCTTCAAGTTCCAAAACGTGAGGGCAAGTTTTGTAACTTGTTAAGACTTTTGATTTCTATAACTTATGGATTTTAAAGTTCCATGAATGAGACCTTTCAAATTCCAAACTTGAGGACAAGTTATGAAACCTTTCAAGATCTCTTGAATTCTATAACATACAATAGTTAATAGTTTCATGAATAAGGACTTTTCATATTCCATAACTTGAGGACAAGTTATGAAGCTTTTCAAGAAGCACATAGATCAAATTAAACTAATCTAATTATCATATAATTCATCATTTACCAATTTGACCTAGTTTGGTTTATATTACAAGATAACTTCAAATTTTACAAATAATTAGATTTTCACAAAACACTACTAGAAAAACAGCCTTTTACCACGCGCAATACGTGTCGTAAAACGCTCTGACGACGTGCAAATGCGTGTCAAGGAAGGCCCTGTCATAACGAGAGACGACACGCTTTTGTGCGTCGTCTATTTACGACGACGCGCATTTATGACACGCATTTACGACGCACAGTTATGACACACAATGCGTATCAAGGAAGGCCCTGTCATAAAGGAAGACGACACGTATTTGTGTGTCGTAACCTTACGACGCGCGTGCTTATGACACGCAATGCGTATCAAGGAAGCCCCTGTCATAAATGAAGATGACACGCATTTGCGTGTCATAAACTTCAATAACCATTTACGATATGCATTTACGACGCATCTTTACGATACTCATTTACGCATAATACAAAAATATGTAAAAAAATATATACCAAAACAATCAATTTCATCCAATAACATCATGTCAAAAAATTGTAATACATTGCTATTAAGGGGATCTAATTGTACATTGTTATTAAGAGGTTTTCCCTAACTATATAACCTAATACTACATTGCTATTAAGGGACACCTTCTGCAATGTAATGCTATACAAACTAAAAAGATATACACAAAGATGATAAACATCAAATTCCAACTAAGTAGAGTTACATTTTGCCTTTCATAATTCTTTAAGACTAATGAACCCCTGCTCCGATAATTCTTGTGACCTGATCAAATAAAAGTCAAAAAATTAATATGCTAATATAATTATTAGAAGAATCAAACATGGAATGTTCGTTGCAAATAATACCTCAAGCTAATAGACAATCCTTGATCCTATGAACTAGAGAGTATATCATCACAATTCCATCTAACACCACCCATGAGAACCCGTAAAGCTACTTAACCAACATATCATGTCATGTAATGTATTTTTTGTCAGTATATTTTCACGTAGAAAAAAAAGTGAAATAAATAAAAATAATAAGTACCAAGAATGATGTATTATTTCCAGTGAGCTGGAGCTTGTAGACTATCCCATATTGAAATATGAAGAACCTCAAGCACAATATAGTTTCAAGTACACGCCCTCTGATTGTCTGGATATGTGCCTGTTCTTCATCCCACCAGGATTCCCAACTATTGTCTCCTTTCACTCCAACTCCACCTTTATACATAAGCCAATTAGTCAAATCATCAAAATCTTCCACAGCTCTGTTCACATCACATCCCAATCATCAAAATCTTATAAGATAGATTCATGAATTTGGAAAAATAAAATAACATAACTGGAAGCATACTTCTGCCATTCGAAGCCAGATGGGTTGAAGATATACGGTACAAACAGCCATGAAACCACAAGGAAACAACTGCTCAGTGTCAGCAGAACATATGCAACACTACCTCCTGGACGAAGCAATTTTTTCTATAATATCGTTGATGAGGTTGCAAAAAACTTGTTGCACATGCGTACCTGAGAATCCGAGCTGGCATTCTTTTTTTCTATAATATCGTTGGTGGGACCCAATTCTGAGTGGGGTCCACACACCTCACTTCCAGTATACTGGATCGGCCACTGTAAGTATGTTCAACTTATTGGAACAGATAACTGGCAACCGTTTTATTACAAAATACATCATACATGACCTCAACTCAAATCAGTAAACACACTACAAAAAAGACAAAAAAGAGGGTTGAGTTACCTTAACTAGAGGTGTTACTTTACTGGTTAACTTCTCAGGTAACTTCTCTGCAAGTATCGGCCAATATGCACTCAATTCCTCACGACCCTGAACACATATAATAAAAAAATGAAAATTTCCCAAATTCAGAAAAAGATTAAACAAAATTTCAGATTAAGATGTTTACTTACCTCTTTGATTACTCTCCAAGTGGATTCAAATGGATAAATCTCATAAGGTTCAAAAATATGTTTGTCTTCTAATAGAACTTGTACACAAGAAAGTACTGAATTTGCTATTGAATTAAGATTGTATCCTCCCTCCAATGCCATAACTATCTTTCCATTGCTAAACTCCATCAACTAAACAAAACCATCAACCACCATTAAATAAACCTCAAGACAATTTATGACTTATTTTTCAGAACATGGTGCTAACCTTCTTCAACAATATAGCAAAACCATGTGGTGTGATACGACAACCTCTAAGAGGATCACCAATAGCTGTTTAAAAATAAAAAAATGAAAAATTATAGTCCCAAAAACATAACTTTATGAACATCGAGAGTTAGTAGAAGTAGATCTGACATGCATCAAATCATGCTGAAATAAGAATTATATCATGTTTAAATTCTCTTGCAACATGGATTAGTATATGGTCCCATGCTGCAATATAATCTGCATCACCACATTTTCCATTCTCCCATGGAACATTTATATTGTACCATTCACCTTCTCCCTCACCCTTCATGTCATATGATCCATCATCACCATAAGGATAAAACGTTCCATACTCATCCCTGCATTATTTATAGTTTTTAATCCACAAAATTTTTAATAAGAGATTATTATTAAATTGGTAACTAATCATTTACCTGTGTAAAGAGAAGAACAACACTTGGGAGTCCTTATAGAAGGACTTTTGAGTACCATTTCCATGATGAACATCCCAATCAACAATTAGTATCTTGTTAATACCTAATTCCTGCAACATACATAAGAAGAATTAATTTAGATAATTCATAAGATTGTAGTCAATGGTTGATTTGACAAACTGTATGCATCATTGCATTGATCACTCTTACTTTTTGGTTAAGGAGACAGCTTGTTGCAATTGCAACGTTATTTAACAAACAGAATCCCATTGGTTCAGTTTCTTCTGCATGGTGTCCAGGAGGTCTAACAATGGCAAATGCATAGTTTAGTTCCCCTTTTGCAACTTTTGTAGCAACTTGTTGAACAAATTGTATATTAATGTAAACTAACAAACATTATATTATATAAACTATACAAAGCAATGTCACTACCAGCCTGTTTCAGTTTCACAACACAAACAATTACTTATTATCATTATAACAAAATATAGAAAAAAATGTTTTACATAAGCTTCAAAACAGGCCAGTTTATGGAGTTTTTTTTTTCTATTTTTTATATAAATTATAAAGTAGGATACTCACAGTGCTTTGGTAGTGAGTAGCAGTGACATAGCAAAAGAATGTTTTATAATAAATGACAAGGCCTTTTTAAGTCGACCTAAGTTGATGGCAGTGGAAATCATGGGCTATAACTATGTCATCTTTGCTCTTGCTCCTTATGGGGACTATTGGCGACAAGTGCACCTATTCGAGTTTCAGATCTTAGAGCATCCACGGCAGAGATATATGAGGCTTGGTTAAAGAATAAAGAGAGTAAAGGATCAGACGTGGTGAAACTGGATATGCAACAATGGTTTGGGATCTTGATATTGAATGGTCTTTTAAGGGTTGTTTCTGGAAAGAGTCTTTCGCTCAATGATGAAGAAGGCATTCGATTTCAGAAAGTAGCAAGGAAACTCTTTCAGTTATTTGCAGTAACAAGGTTCCTCAGTCAATATCACAAAATAAATAGATTTAACTTGAGTGTAAAATCCTAATGCTTACTCATTAAATAGACCATGAACATCAAGATCATTCTCCCTTAGCTTTGGGCCAGTGCTATACCATCCTACCACATGCTCCTTAGCTGCAACAACAAACTTCAATATTTCAAAAAAAAAAAAACTTTACTGCATAAACTAGGAAAAAGATGAATTAAAACCATATTAATAATATATGTTTTCTTTGTTAGCTTTATCATTTATAATATCGATAATTCTTGACAACTTAATAATAGAAAAGATCATTATTTATCATTTTCCTCTTAATTGCTATAACTTTTGGAGCTTCACTTAATGTGTTGTGAATACATTGTACTCTCTAATCATATAACCTAAAATACCCTTTGCATAATTTCTAATATTGTTCTTTATTTCGTTTTCAAGGTGCGATTTACAGGGGAGCAATCTCAGTAAACCCAATTTACTTTAATCTGAATACAAATTAATCAAACAATGTAACTTTGTCAACCCATGGAAGTAACTTCATATTCAAGTGGGAGAGGTAAACCAACAATAACTCCAAATAAGGACTCGATAATCACAATATTATAACCAACAAAGATACAACTTCAAAGAGACATTTGATCAAATGGGTTGTGTGCATATGTTCTTACATGGAATTTACCGTTATACCTCATACCATTCTTTCCACTATTCATCAACTATGCCCCAGCTAGTTACAGGTAATAGCTGTTGTGGAAGGAAAGAAAGTAGATGAATAATGGTAAGCACGACATACCTTAGTGCAACCAGAAGAGAAGAATCAGACCTGCTTCATTGAATAGAATGAGATATTTCTTGAAATCGGATCTAGGGCTTGTAAGCAGAACCAAAAATCATGATAAATCATGCTCAGTAATCTCTACTTCCTTCACGTTCTGCTCAACAATCTGAAAATTCAAAAGAAATTGGAGAAATTTGAGTCAACAGTAGAGTGATTCGTACATCTAGATGGCGTAATTAGGTCTGTAGAGAAGAGGAGAGGCAAGTCATAGAATTGAATGTGAGCTCACTCGAGGAAACTCTGATTTGAGAAGACCATAACAATACATAAACAAGAGAGTCAACAGTAGAGCGATTTTTTTCATTATCAAAAACCTAAGCGTTATGAGAGAGATTATGAGAGGTGAAAGATTAGTTTGGTTTTTAGGGTAATGAATAAGGTTGTGGTTTGTTGGTGGCGGCAGGGGAGAAGAAGATAGCTCCGACGAAGGTCAAAAATATGGAGCAAGGAAGAAGGAATGGGTAAGAAGACATCGTCGTGAATGGCCAGTGGCAGTGTCTATGGTTAGAGAGAGAGAGGAGGGAGAGAATGGCTCTATGCGATTTTACGAGAGATAAGGCGATCCAGAGGAGAGAGTGCAGAAGCGGGGTATTCAAAATTTTAGAATTTTAGAGGATCCCTCTTTAAAAACGCGCGTTTAGTTTAAAAAATATATAAAGCTGCATTTGTAGATGACACACACTTAAAATAAGCGCCCTCCATGTTTTTAATTTTGTTTTGTTTGACACTAATTTTAAGGCACACATAAATGCGTGTCCTCTATCCTTCAAATTTTGGAAAACTGACCTTAATTTTTAGGGCACGCACAAATGCGCGTTCTGTAACAACATAAATTTTCAAACCAAATTTTTTTCATTTTTAAAACACAATAAACTCATATTACATTTTCTCAAAAACCACAAGTTTCTCAAATGTCAATAATCCACAATTAAAAATCACTATCCCAGAATCATAAAAATAATCTCGCTCCAGTCTCACAGCTCGGGTTGGACCCTCCAGTCCTATATTTCAGTGAAGACCCTCCAGTCTCACAACTCGATTTGGACCCTCCGGTCCGATCTCAGAAAAACACAGAATAACATAGCAATAATCACAAAGACAGAAAAAGCACAATATCACATAACTCAATATAATCACATATGACCCTCCGGTCAATAACTCAGATAAGGCCCTCCGGCCGCTCGGTATTACCACTCAAATAAGTATAGTGAGAAGACTCACCTCGTAAGAAATCGGATAGCCTCGAACTCAAATCACCGGTCTAGCCTCCGCCTAACAAAAACGATAATTATTAACGGCTCTCAGAGAGCTAGAGTAATCCTTTTACAAACTCACAGAAGGATAAAAGACCATTTTACCCTTCCATGGCCTTAATAGTCCACAAATTGACCAAACCCTAAAGTCAACTCAAAGTCAACGGCAGCGCGTACGCGGCGCGTACAAGCCCTCTACGCTGGGCGTGCTCCTTTGCCACACATGCATTGGGGATTCTCAGTCCTACGTTGCGCGTACTAGGATTATGCTCAATGTACGTCCCAGTTTTGTTCTTCTCACTCGTTTGGTCTTAATCTGTTAAGACCTTAGCTCAAATTTCAGATCTGGACATCCTAAAGACTCTTGCTCCATAAAGTCTGTGACTTTATGCCTTTGCATGGCTGATAAAGCCACAAACTTCAAAACTCTCACTCTCTATTCTCAAATATGCTCATAACTCATGCATGGTTTGATTCAAACATCCAAGTCTTGATTTTTATGACTCTACACCACTCAAAACACTCAAAGGAGCTGATAATAAACTCTGGAGCTCAATATCTCATAAAGCATCCAACTTTGGGACCAAAACCCTAAAATGAACTAAAATGATGCACAAATCAAAAGAGTGATAAAGCTTTGAGCTTTATACCTCTAACTGAAGCTCCAACCACAGATAAGCTCAGATCCAAAGCCTGGACTCCCACTCCTTCCTCTTCAAAGCTTCTTTTTCACACCAAAGAAACACAAGAACACTCAATAACTCACAAATGGCCTCACAAGCTTAAGGGACGAGAAATTAGGGTTTGAGAGGTTTGATGTCTGGGAATGGTGGCCAGAAATGAGGCCATCATGTCCTTTAAATAGGGGCACACCACAAATTAGGGTTTTCACTCTGGGCCTAGTACGCCCATCGTACCCTCTGGTATGCCCAGCATACTAGGTGGCTTCCGCGTCAAAAACACGCTTATGAGTACGCTAAGCGTACACTCACGTACCCCCCGTGTACTCATTTACCACCCTTTTCTCATATAAGGACCAAACTTGACAATTACCAATAAAACAAGGGTTTATGGAGTATACCTGTAACACCCTGTTTATTTAATAAATAAATAAACAAATTAATGAATGAATAGTAGCCCAAAAATTAATAATTATATGGCAAGGTGCTGGTCTCGAGGAGTTAACTGTCATAATTTTAGAAGGCGGGGATTAAAGTGTAAAATCCGGACTTAATTTGTAAGTATTATTGAAGGCAGAGACTAAATGGGAATTTATGAGACTTCATTTGACGAGATTTTGGAGGCTAGGGGCTGTTTGGTAAATTTTGTACCTAAGTTGTAATGGATTTTAATGCTGAGGGTTTAAATGGTAAATATTGGATTTATTTTGAAAGAAATGGGGGAGAAGAGGGACTACTTTTGGCATTATGGAAACTAGTTAAGGGGATCAGGGTATTTAAACCTGTCACCCCCGTCCCAACCCTAACCCTAAATGCAGCCGCCACCTTCCCTCCTCCTCCAGCTGCCGCTCTCGCTTCTTCGTCCTCTGGCGCCGCACCATCACCTCTGCTGAGGTCATCAACCACCGGACGCCACCGCCTACCTCGTTTCCGATCAGCCAACGCGTCACAGCCCCTATCTTCCAGCGAGAACAAGTAGACGACGGGTTCTGGGTGTGTTCGCTGCAACCGTTCATGTTTTCTGTCGCCGTTCACTGCCGCTTTTGGCTGTTTATGGTGTCTTTCTGACTGCCGTGTTTGCCTCTAACTCCGTCCCACAGCAGATAACTGCCCGCACCACGTTCCTTTATCAGTTGCTCTGGTCGAGTTTGCTGCTGTTGGGTTCGTCATTGCTGTCGTCGCCATCTACTGTTGTTGTTGCCGCCATCTCGCGCAAATGCCGCCTACCGCCACAAGACCTCCGATGGGTGTATTTTTCGTGTTCAGTTCAAGAGTTTGCGTGTTTTGATGTTGCTGAACAAGTGAGGGTGTGTTTATTTGGCCGTAAAAGCCACCACCACCACCGTGAGGTGGTGGCTGCCACCACTTGCCACCGCCGGCCACCACTAGGGTGGATGTGTGTGTGTGCGTGTTTAGCTTAGTGTGTGTATGTGTGTGTGTGTGTGTTATTTGAGATGTTGCATTGTATGATGTAATCGATAAAGGAATAATTGAAGAAAACTTAAAAACCACCACCGTAGGGTGGTGGCTGCCGCCACCAACCGCCGTGTTGGGTGGTGGTGTGCTTTTGCTTGCGTGTAGTTAATTTTTGGATGCTTGGACAAAATGGACTAGAAACCCTAACCACCACCGTGAGGTGGTGGCCGCCGCCGTGAGCCGCCGTTGACCACCACTACACGAGGTGGTAGTGGGTGGTGCCCGACTAGCGAAACCCTAACGGGCCTAGTGGGGCCCTAATGGGCCTAATGAACCCTAATTGATCAAAAGACCTAGCTATTGGGCCTATTGGACTATGATTGGGTTGGAAACCCTAATTTTGGAATCATGGGCTTGGACTTATCGGGACCCACGTTTGGGCCATTGGAATTGAATTATTAATAATACCCGAGCATACTATGTGATTTACCCAATAGATTGATGGACTTAATGGATTAAGTCCTTAATGGGTTAAGTGAGAAACACTTAACCCTAATTGTCATTTTATGTGAAACCCTAATTTCACTTGGGCTTTGAGTTAGGCCTTTCTATTGGGCTTTGGTGATTGGGCCAATAATGGACCATCCAAGAACAATCAATGGACTAGAATAATTAGATGGGCTTTAGGGTAAGGCCCATATGAAGGTTTGGGCCCAATTTTCCATAGATGGGCCATAGTTTGGGCCTTAATGATTATATGATATTGGGCAATTAGAATGTCAAATGTTGGACTGGAATAAATGGTTGGGCCTTAGAATAAGACCATGTAAAGGTTTGGGCCCAATTTGGAAAATTGGGCCATATGTTGGGCTTTGACTCATAGTTGACCGTTGGGCCTTTGGATTGGGCCTTGGGCTTGGATCAAGCTAAGATTGAGGTAATGCAGTCTTTTACCCCAAGCATGGACTTATGGTTATGTATTGGAACCCAATTATTAATTGGGTGTTATTTTGATGTTGACAGTTCGGGAACCTGTCATCCAGCAGTTGGGATTGTGTCTACGGGACTTCAGCAGTGTGAGGTGAGCTACCTTCCAGTAGAGGTGGGTCGAAGGCACCAATGTCGGCCCACCAGTAGGTGATTATGTATGAGATGATTGTCTTTTTGATAATTGTCTAGTTTGCAACTATCCGATATGCTCTATGTGCTAGGATGCTCTGATATATGTGTTAGTAGTAGTAGGGGTGAAATAGTCCCCAGATACCGGTTGAAAGATACCGAAGGGGTAGTCAGTACCCATGCATTCCTAGCAGTATGTTCATGATATGATGTTATGTGATAGTGGTAGTAGGGGGAATAGTCCCCATATCTGGTCGATAGGACCAAGGGGTAGGCCAGACACCCCGGTATGTTTTGACAGTGTGATTATGTTATGTTTCTATATGGTAGTAGTAGGGGTGAAATAGTCTCCGTAACCGGTTGAGATAAACCAAAGGGGTAGGTCGGACACCCAGGTATGTCTGACA